ACAACTGTAGAGAACAAAAGTGGTGAGATTAGGACTTTAATTGTCCCCAAAAACCGCAGAACACCAATTCGAAATTCATGGCCTTCGATTGTTGAGGTACGAATATGCATGTTGACTAAAGTTCCTAGTAGGTGTTAACAAAGCAGCTCAAACTTATGGTGTGCATGAAAACAGATAAGAAATCATGGAAAGTATTTATCAAATCATCTTCAGAAACAAGAGATGCCCAGCACTTACAGAAAGGTTTTGACTTTGTGAATGCTTTTCTGAAAGGCTTTAAGTATGAAGATGCATTAGCTGTGGTAAGAATAGACGGTATCTACGTCAATTCATTCCACATAATTGATGTAAAACAAACACTCAAAGTGAGTTAACGTTTCTCATCCACCAACATTAATACGAATAACTGTCCTTGAGTCCTGTATTCATGGTTAACTATTCTCTTAAAAATAGTAGTATAATTCCTGTCATGAGCAATAGAGATTTTTTTTGACTTCGTTGTCGTGCAGTGAAATCTTACCCTTCTGACCTCAACTATCAGTTGCCTGTAGTTACACTAATCTGGATGCAATTATCATCAGACTACAGTCGTATGATAAACAGTTAATCTATTTGTAATTCACTTTCTTCCCATTTGTCTAACCTTCCACTGTCACTGAGTCAATTGTAATGTGCATGAGTTCGACGTTGTAGGCGAGATAATGTGTCTAATCACTTCCGCACATAAACGAAACAGTATTATTCTGGTTTCTTTGCTTACGTAGATACTTCGTTCTCACCATCAAAGCGCTTCGGAATATCATTCATAGTCAACGCGAAACCTCATATGTGTGCACAGTTTTTTTCAAATGGCCATACCCCTTTGGCACAGACATGTAATTGTCTAAGAGAATCACAGTAGAAAATGAAGTAACAGTTTTAGTGTTCATGTAGGATATTAGCCATTGAAAACAACTAGAAAAAATTAAATAAGATCATATGAAATTTAGAGAGCTAGGATCTACCTGAAGACAAGGAATATATATTATTGAAGCAAATTAGTTGTGTGCAATTCAGATCTTAGGTGAGTTAAAATGTGGATTCACCTGTGTCGTTCCAAACGGTTCTGGACCATGTCATTCACAGCCTCTAACCATTCATAACCGTAACTACGTTGATCCCAATAAGGCACTCTACACCGGTCAGTAGGGCTCAATTCCATTGCCGACGATTTCATGGACTGATGCTACACTTTGGTTTTGCGGCTCACTGGTCGATTTGCCATATATACTTAGTACCCCACCCCTACTTGTTCGGTAGCCCAGAGGACAACTGCAAAGGGCCGGTGCTGCACGGCGTTTCCACGTAAGGTTTGCGATGTATTCCGTACTTCGAAAGTTGTTATCACGGGAGGTGGGAATCCCGAAAAAAAGACAGTGCGACATTTTAATGTTTGACGTTTTCCTTCCGTTTTGAGGAGAAAGCGCTCGGAACTGTTGTCTGAGGAAAACACCTTACTGCCCTAGCACCCTTCTACATTCGTTAGCGCGACCTTGCCTTTGGACACTAGGTTGTTAATTTTAGTCTTGTCGTTCTGCAACCGACCTTCATGTTTTGGTAGGACCTTAAGGAACATATGTTTCAGCCAATATAACTCGGCAGTCATGACCATAAGCATGCTCGACTTCCACATCAGGATGGCAGCTACGTCCAAGTTTCAGAGTAGAATGATCGTATTAACAAAGCCAGCTATTTAGAAATGTCTTGAATCCTCTCAGTATCTTTAAAGTCCGTCACATTATTTTTCCTTATGTTGTCATCGTTACTTTGATCTATGTATATTGTATCAGTTTAGATTAACACCGACCAATATGTGCGTAACTACGTACATAAGATAATCCGGAAGTACCAATAACTATTTATTCACTTATGACCGTTTTGTTGATGCAAAGTTGTCTTCGCATGTTATTAATACCGTTAAACACGGCCAACACGTTATCTATCCTGTTATTTCCATCCCTGTGTTGCTCTGCTTTACCGACCCGATGTGACACGTAGTCTGAGGTTTTATGTTGATTGCGACGTCATCGTAGATGAGAACGTGGCGACTATCAGCCCAGATTAACATTCTAGTTGAAATTTCATCATTTATTTTTCCATTGTCAATGAAAATCTTGTCGAACTTTCCGAGCCACACAAGTTTATTCTCCCACTTATCGAAACTCAAGTGGATGTCCTTGTTTTTATTACGTTTATCACTTTGTATAAGTAAACTTCACTAGCCTTTAATAAATCCTTGCACAAGAAACTCTTCTTAACTTTTAGGGGCCAAAATGTTTATAGTTTGTGTAAACGAAGAAGTCCAATTGCAAGTCAAAGTCTTTAAGAAGACTTAAAATTTTTTTTATCCATCGATGATGAAACTTTCCCAAAAATTATGGTTTACAATTGGGTCAAAAAACGTTTCATTCGAACTTTAAATCTGGTCTGTGGTAATTTATAGTTTCAAAACGTTGATTATGCAACTCATTTGCGATGTGTGAGTTGGTATGCTCGGTTTCGAACTATTATTCTATGCAACGGATAATGATTAACCTTGGATATCCAAATCAAAGTAAGCAGAGAAACCACATACAGTTTCAGACACTGAGCAATAAATACCATTCGGCTAAAAAATATCAGGTTAGAGTCCGAAATCAGCTCATGACAAATTTACTGAAGTGCTGAACCAAAACTGTGTTTTAATCTTGCATGTGTCACACGATACTGTTTGACTGATATCACTTCTAATATGATTTCTGATTATTGTTTTTCAGGGTGATCACATGGCTCGAGCAGTGGGGCGTATTTGTGGCGCTAAAGGTCGTATTCGTATGTGCATTGAAAACGCTACACGGACTCGCATAGTTGTTGCCGATGAAACCATCCATATTCTAGGAAGCAATGACCGTATAGCAGTAGCCCGACGTGCAATATGTGATCTGATATTAGGTGCTCCGCCGAACAAAATTTTCGGAAAAATTCGAACACACGCCGCTAGACTAGATTCTTCTTTGTAACTTCTTTAAACCTACGCGCTAATGTATAAAACTTATTTATTCAGTTTTCGTTATCTTTCTAATGTCATTATTTTGATGCCACACGTATTATTTCCATGAAACGTAAATTATTTAAGGCCAATTTTTGCGAATTATTTGCTATAAACGAAAGTAAACTTCAGTTGGTTACACTGGTAGATTTTGTTTAAAAATAGGTCATAGGGAAAAAATATACGCACTAAACCTATGCATCAAAGTATATTAATAAGGCTAACCGTGAGTCTTAATAAGATTGAGTACACTCTTCGGTCAAAAAATCTCGGCAATTAGTTTTCTTCTGCCGAATAATAAGTATATTTTGTAGTTTCATAACACTTACTAAAATATTTAGAATCCCATAGACTATTTCTTTCCTAAATGTAAATTTGTTCTCAATAGTAATCAGATGTTTTAATTTTGAGTTGACACATTTTTAAATGTACTAGAATGTTAAGGAATTAATAATTCCTTGAAAAAGCTCGGACCAGATTGCCAGGCGAAACGTTAGATTTACTACAAATTCATTCGCTGATATTTTATTAATTTATTATTCCTATTTAATATCTTACATCAACTCGGCGCTCAAATACTGTGAAACTGTTCGCTCTAATTTAGACGAGAGTTCTTATATATGTACTAGAATGTTGTTAGGAAGCTTGACGAAGATGATTCACAAAACATGTAACTTGTTACGATAACTTTTGGATGTAGTCCGGTTTACAGTTCCTGTTCGACATCCTCAAGTACTGCGTACTTTTCGTCTAATTTGGATTATGGACACATTGTGGCTTGTAATCAAGTACATGAAGTTGAGACTCTCACTTAGTTAATTTTGGTCGATAGAAATTTCCAATTAAGTGGCTACTTTTTTTCAAGCCTATAGTTGATCATACAAACCTATGTGCTGCAATTCACAGTAAAGGTCACATATTTGTTTAAGATAAGTTGCAAACTGAAACCTTTATTACGACCCTAATAGTTAAGCACAAAGTAGTAAATAAAATAGCCCACTGTGCCGTTGAGTAGTAATATCTCGAAAGTGATTTAACTATTTGTGTTGTAACTTTGTCAAGTGCTAGAACTGCTACATGTATGGCTAGTTGTTATGACTGAAAAATCTGTTACTTGTCACAACGGGACGTAGACTGATATTACTAGACCCAGGTAAGAAGTAGTTTGCGAGTGAAGTTCTAATCATGTACCAACCACTGATTAACAGCGGACCAAAACTGATATTGGGGTATATGTCATCTTAAATATCTGGTCAACGGTTAAATTTAAACACATATGGTTTTCAGTAATTGACATTAATTAGTTAATAATATACTATGTGAATACATTTCGCGATAGTAGTTGATTAGCTGTTTTGGCTGGCGAACATAACTATGTTACTTAAATGCGTTTTTGCTTCTTTCTGATAGTTCACTGTCGTATTTATAAGTCAGTTAAGAAAATGGGAAGTGTTTGGTGTTAATAATAATCGGTCTGAAAGCTGAGACCTGAAACATACAAAATTGAGATGTCTGCATCGTAACTGTAACTGTTGTATGCATAGTAAACGTCTTGTAATAAAACAAATCCGACAATTCAAAAAGATCCGGTCAATCAAGTCATCTGCAGAAAGAAAAAGCATCACTGTCATTACTAATTTAAGTTGTCATTATCGATACACCAAGAATATTCGAGAAACCGACGATGGTTGGTAATGTTCTAGTGCTTAGGGTGTCTGGTTTATAGTCATTCAATTTGTCCCCAAACTAAGTCAGTTTGGAATGGATGACAGTGCCGGCATCTCTTAAAGGATGTGGGTGGATTTGTTGCGGGTTACTTAAATTACATTCGGTTTAGTTAACTTGCAACAGGTTACAGTGAAATTATGTGGAACGGAGATCTGTCGAACACAAGTCTGTGCAGTATTTTTTCTTCATAAATCGTTTCATTTTAGTCGGAACTAGATATTTTTATGTAAATAAAACCAGAATCTGAAAGGAAATAAGTGTTTGGCTTAACAAGCTATTAAAATGAGTGAGGATTTCTTTTGTACTAAGTGTTAAGGTGCAAGTTTGTAGTCAGTATTGACGATAGATGTATTAATTTTCAAAACGATTTCACGTGAAATCTGTATTTTACAGCAAACATATTTATTACTGAGTATATCCATTTTAAGGTTCCTGCAATTAACTATAAGGTGGTGGGAAGTTAAGTTGACTGTAATTCTGATCATAACCTTGATTTACTTGGTATCCTTGAGGGTAAGAAGGTAACTGTGAAGGACCCGTGATATTAGTAACTTGGGCTGGTAATTGTTGTTCATTTTTCGAATGAATTCCCAAATTATTTTGGTCAATAATTATGTCTTTTGGTACAGTTGAAATATTTAAACAGCAACAACATGTCAATGAGAAAACGTCCATTAAACATATTCCACTAGCTAAAATAAGCAATGCAGTTTGAACAATGATTTCTACCCGATATTCATAATAAACTTGTGCATCTATAATGTCAATAATCCAATATATTGCAAATAACGAAAGCATAATACCAATCAAGCAAACAAGCAAGCTAAATAAAGCGAGTGATATGGCTAGTTTGTAAAATTTCCCATCATGTCTGCTTTTTTCAATCGAATAAATTACGGCAGTAAATAGGATAAATGGACTTGTCCAGTAACCTGCATAAAATGTCAGTGGGACAATTCTTATATTATATGTGTATAATTCGCAGGTCACAATGGCAATTATTATTAACACTGAGCAAATTGTTGACAGCAGTTCGAATAAGAAAAAGGTGGTTTTTGAATTTTTAGGTATATTTTCCATTTGCCTTCACAGTTCTTGATTTTGAGATGATAATATAAGCTTTGAATTTTTTTCACTGAACATTTCCTACCATATATATACCAACATTGAGGCACATTCTCACCTGTTTATTGCTTCATATCTGTAATCCGGTTGGTTAAAGCGTTTAATAACAATATTTGGTAACTATAACAACGGATAGTACCTAATTTTATCAAAAAAGACTGAACTCCATGGTTATATAGAAAATTAATTCTTACTATCGAGTGATTAATTTCTCTTCTTAAATTAAAATTTTATTGTGTATTATCAGTAAGTAAATAAACAATAGGTTAACAATTTTCCCAAAGGATCGATTGATACATACAATAATAATCTTGCTTTCAAAATTTGAAAAGAACTGGACTACCGAAATATGTCCTTATTCTGTTACTAGTCGTACCTAACAACATGATTTGAGAATTATTATTGAGGAATGTTGATGTATTATTGATTGCAAGCATATTTTTAACCGTATGTGAGGATATCATGTTTTGTAAAACAAAGACAATCAAAATACTAGCTTTTTCTGAAGTGTTATATTTCACTTTTGTTACAAGTTTTTTCTCCAACAATAGTGGAGTTTTCTTCATTTTATTAACATATACTTCAATTTTTGACAGGGAGAGGATAGAGTATTCAAAGATTGTGTTATTTTTAATTCAACCAATCTCTGTAGTCGAGTTTCGATCTTCGAGTCATTCTTAGTGTGAGCGAAACCGATCAAGCTTTCAGTCTCTTTAGTTTACATTGAAGCTATTGAAAGGTCGAATATACCTTCTTCTTAAGAAGTGTTCAGATAATTGAAAAGTGAAGCTTATATTTGAGAAAATAAAAGGGTGGAAGGGGTGAGGAAATAAACAAACGAACAAGTAGTATAAAAAATAATAGATAAAATCACTTATTAAGGCTAAGGGAGAGATAAGGGTGTTACAAATTTCTTATGAACACAAAGACTTGGATTATTGGCTAAAATTCCTATAGCTTCTGCTATGTGTACGAGAAGAGATTGAGCCCCATAAGGAAAACTAGTAGGAATACAATAAATAACTTTAAATGACCTATTTCTGTCTACTAAATAACCGCTAATGATCAAGTGTGAAAGAACCGAGCTAGGTATTGTCTCGACAGTACCTTTTCCGAACTATGATGGATAGTGTTCACTAAATCTTTCGATCAGTTGTCTGGTAATGCGCTCAATGTAGATTTCTCCACAGGAACAGCTGAGTTCGTAGATACACATAGAAGTAGCATAACCAGTTAACTTATCCTTTAGTTGAGGAAACATCACAGATCGGGTCGAGTACAGTAGACAGAGGTTAGCTGCATTAAGCGTTCTCTTCACTGCTCTAGTCAGTCTATCACGTAGCACATCACCAGCTACATCTCCGTTGAATTTCAGCTTCAGGATAAGGGGCATCTTACTAGCCGTTGATGTTTCTATTTTCTTGTTTGTCACATGTAAGTGCTTCTTCAGGAAACCTTGTGGATAACCCATTTCAATCAATATATTTTGTATAAGCTCTAACTCCTTGTTAATTGAATCGACCAAGGATATCTTCCTAGCTCTATTTGCCAGACATTTGACCAAATTTCTTTTATAGTGAAGAGGTACAAAGCCTAAGAAGTGTGTACTGGCTTGATGAAGAACTTTTCCTGTACACACTTCTACTGATAGAAGGATTTCCTTTTCTGTTTGACAAAACATCAAGGAAATGTAGTTGTTTATCTGGTTCCTCTTCACACGTAAATTTAATTGCCGGATGTTTGTTGTCGAATAGTTCTGAGAGTTCTTCTTTAGCAATGTTCTGATCGACGATAATGGAAGTATCATCAACGTACCGACAATAGAAGCCAAGCTTATTGATAACCTCTTACAGAGGTTCATTTTCTAGTTTTGCAAGAAAAGAATCAGCAAGGATAAGACCTTTAGGTCAACCAATCGCTATTCAATCAATCTGTCTATAATATCTATTATTAAAGACAAGATGGACATTCATTGTATATTTCATAAGTAATTCTTTGAGACTAACCCCAGGATTTCTAATATTGATCAGTTTTTTCAAGTAGTTGTTGGCATACAAAGTCAATAGGCCCAGTAGATGGTAAATTGGTTAACAAAGAAGCAACGTGTAGGGATATCATCCGTTTCCCATTTCAGTCCTGATGTCCAACATTGGAAATGCAATCGGAAACGTCTTTCATGCTTCTGTTAACAATTATTTTATTTAAGGGATTGAAGATTCGAACTAACCACTTTGCAGTTTTATTGTAAGGCGAATTATACGTATATAAAACTGGACGAAGTGGGAGTCCTGTTATGTGAACTTAGGGTATAGCATAGAGTTGCAGTGTGTTCGATGGAGTTGGTTTAATTGAATCGTGCATAGTTGGAGTAAGTATTCCTTTATTTTTAATTTCTTAAGTGAATGAGTCAGCATTTTCTCTGTTTTCATATTTATGTGTTTCACGTCGTTGAGTTTTTGACATTTATTCGGATTATTCGAAATTGATTTCGTATTATCGATGTAATCGGCTTTGTCCATTAGGACTATCCCTCCTCCCTTGTCTGGATTGCTTATGATCAGTGTGTTATATTTTCTAAGCATATGCCAAGCATCTTTAATTTGTATATTAGTGTTCGGATGGCTTCTAATAGTACGACGAGACCTCCAGAGGTCTTAAAAGAGCTAAAGAGATTCTATCCAATTAGAACCTGATAGAACTTTCCAGAATACCAACGTGGCATGCTACGATAGGACAAATGCGTAAATTGCCTCTTTGCGGGTTGGCTGTATTATCATCATGTTACAGCCAATACTAATAACTACAAACAGCCATGTTTTTCTGTACGAATTTGATTTCTAACCCAATAATCACTGCTTCTATTTCTCCCATCTTCTGATTTTTGACTCTAGGGTTTTATACGTTAGAGTGTCGTTAGATTGTGACATGTAGATTCAGTGGTTTGTGTGACAAAATAAAAACCACATTTTTTCCTATTTGTCATTCTTTATATGTAGTCGCATATATATTCAGTATCTATTGTTTCTCTGTATCACTGGTAAAGAAACGGATATAATTGTTTGGTTATACACACACACACTACCACGATTATTGAAAATAATAAACCCTATCTCTGACGTCTGTTCTTCTGCTGTATTGGCTATGGCCTTTGATTGAAGATTATAATAGTGTTATAACATCCTTTTAGGCCTTCTCACACTATGTTGCCATCGGATTTTATCTTTCTCATTACGCCGTTGGTGCCACCACGTGCAGAAGAACCTTTGTTAATCAGGTGAACTCATTTTTTGGTTGTTATCTCAGAGAGCAGCTTGCTAGTAACATTCATTTCATAACAACTGTTATCATTTTGTAATTTAATATACTATTTATATCGTAACTGTAATTTGTTACCTTTTTGCGTTACTCATAAACAGACACCTAGGTTTGTAGTGTTAATTCTTATTGGTATATTATTGGTAACTTTAAGTATAGCTATATCTCGAATAAGCTCTTTTGCCGGGATCCACCACAAGTTGCATATCATATTCTGTCGTAATCAAGTAGAGGACATAAAAATTAGAATGAATTTGCTGACAAAAAATAATGTAGTACATTTGAGATTCTATAATTACTGTTAACCAAGAACCAAGTTATTGAGAAATTCTTCTTATTGAACAAACTTTTTCTATAAAAGATGAGAAAAGCATAATTCCTCAGTAACTATTTAGGATTGCTGTGCCGTAATTTAGACTTTAGGTTAAGCAAATTCTAAACATTATATTTTGATGATATCGGTTTCACACAAGAACACTCAAATTAAGCAAATAAAAATGTAAAGACCTTTCATTTCCTATTTCTTTACGAAATACATCTTTCCTGTTTTTAAAAAATTCATTTAAGCATGTCGTTTTTAACTCATCAGTGACGTATCTCATAAAATCACTAACTCAAAGATAGCATGCTCGAATTACTTTACCTATTTCCACCAGAGTATAAACATGTAATGGTTCACCGAATCCTAATTTAATTTCATTAGTTTTTCGAAATATATTGGACGAAGTTTCAGCATTGTTTAGAGTTAGGTTTGGTCATCACTTTACAATGAAATTCAGTAGAATTCCCTCCTAAAATTTGCGAAATGATTTTTTTAGAAACCATTTTCATTTACTTGAAAGCCGATTTTTCTCAAGAATATCTTTATACAGTAGACAAATAATTATCTAAAATCTCTTCATGGGTGTTGCATATAAAATCTATACGTTAATGATGACAAAGCAAACATGTACTTTGAAAAGAAGGGTTTGATTTTATTTGTCAGCATACTGAAGTGATATAAATCAAGCTTGAACATTAAGAGTGGTCTGGCAGAATATTAATCTAAAACTCAGAAATTCTCAAAATGCGTAAATATGAAATTTAGACTATGTTGATACCCCAATGACGAAGAATTACTTACAAATGAAAACTCCAAGCAAATAAAGCTAAATCTAAACGTAATGAAGGTGTTTGTATGAGCTAATGATTCTTTTGTGTTGATGACTGTTTTGATTTTGAATCCCAAATACAATACATTCGTTCGTGTTCGTCTAATACTTCTTCATCAAATTGCGCTGTTTCTGAGATTACTAGTTTATACTATTGTAGTGACCTGCCTTTCTCGACGAGAACGCGATTGGTATAACGGAAACAATTATTATCATAACCAATTGTACCAGTGATTGTTTCACTGTAGTCGTTGTTTAACTACATCAAAATCACTTTTCGTTCGGTCGCCCGCCTTATCCGTTCGAACTTTCTTACCTTCTGCCCTTTTTGCCTGTACCATTTGGCACGTCTCTGTATTCTTTCGATACCACGAGATCGCCAATAAATATACTTTATCTGGACTAATTATAGCCTTCTGGTTTACGAGCTATCAAAGGAACCAAGTCGATTTTGGACGCGTAATCTTATTGTAGTGGTGATCATAGTCAATCGAGACCCGACTCCATCTACACCATAATTCAAATGACACTTAATACATTGAATTCCACTTATTCATAAATTCATTTAAGCGAGCAGTTTAATTAACTAAAGGCTATAGAGTTTTATTTATGTCTATCAATATGATAAGTAGAATATCTTACATTTTAAA